TGACGCGGTCGATTAGTTAAGACTAGTTAAGCCTATGTTGTTTTATAATGCACCACGGAGTCCCCCTAATTCTCGTTTGTCTGATGTGTACTAAAATACTACCTGCCGCGCACTCGTTTATTTGTTTTTTCTGTGCGTTTCTCCCCGTACCCCGCCAAACCTGAACCACAGTTCTCTGACTTCAAGATATCTACGCGCCTGGTAATCATCGGCTGGTGCTCGAGGTACGCGCACGTCATCGCCGACACCGGCATCATCTTCGGGGCTTTCTACGCGCTCGAGAAGAAAGAGGAGGACGAGGTAAGAAGGCTTATTGTGTGCAACAGCGTGATATTGAGGCCATGCGGTACGTATGACAACGTGACCTTGAGGATTTGTTAAGGGTTAGACGGTAAGGCATTTTCAAAAAGGGAGGAGGAAGGATTAAGAAGGCATATGGTATCTACTGGAGTATTCCAAGGGGGTACTGAGGGCATATGGAATCTAATGACGTGATAGCGACGTGATAGTGAGGGCACATGGTGTGCACCAACGTGATATGAAGGTTTAGGTTGAGGAGGTAAGGGCATTGATCAGAAAGAGAGGAGGAAGAGGTAAAGGGTATATATGGTATGTACGACAACGTGATGGTGAGTGTTTCCGGTCAAACGACGAGGGCTTTGGCAATAATAACAGGAGGAAGAGGCACCCTCTCTGCCCTCGGGAAAAACAGGAGAGAGAGATAAGACGGGTGTCGTCAATGACACCGGTATTTGGCAGAGAAGGAGAAGAGGTGCCAGGGCGCACCAACGTTACAACTAGGGCGAGGTCGATGACCCAGATATCAATACAGAACGTGCCACCACTTGATACGTTGGCAATTTGAGCCTCGACGAGTCCAAATTCAAAGAAGGTGGCCACAAAAACAGGGGCAGAGTCAAGAAGCCTACACCAAAACCTGCATAATACTCGCCGTGGGTGTACGCCATAGTCAAAAACGAAAATGGCCTCGGCAAAATGAGAGGTGCTTAAGTTGAGGTGCGTTCTGTATGGGGGGCCGTCCTTTGCTCCCTCGAGAAGAGGTAAAAGGGGGGCATTGCGCGGCATGTCGATGCTACACGTTGGCCACAACCTTTGGATTTTCCGGTGCCCTCGAGAACAGATGGGAACAGCTCGAAGCACAGCAGTTTCGAGGTGTACACGAAAAATAGCAGCTGGGATAAAGGCGGGCGGGACGAAGAGTCGTTGGGGGTCCTAGATGGACATGCAATACCGGCGACAACAGCCCCACCCACCCACCCAACCCACCTGCCTTACTGCCGAAAATAATCCCTGCTCCTCTCCCCTCCCCTCCCCTCCCCTGCTTCCCGCTGCATTCGCATCACACACGTCGCGCGCTCAGTCGTTGTCGCGGCGCCAGTCGAACAGCAACAGCGGCGGAACCGGCGTCTGCAATGGCACCTCTGCCTCGAAGGCTAGACTCGGAGTGCTCCGGTGTGCAAACGACGACGACAGCGACATCAGCGGCAACCTCGAGGCAGGGGTAGGACGGGGCCCCGCAGAATGCATGGGCGGCGGTGGAAAGGTGGTTCCCAACGGCAACAGAAAACACGGATCATCCGTGAGTGTTGCATATTTTCTTGCTGCTGACGTGCTCGTTTCATATTTTGTGATCCGTGTGTTGGTTTTGAAGTCCTCTGGTTGGTTGCCGATAGTAGGCCTTCCGAGACGAAACAACTAACGCAGTTATTGCCGCGCCATGCCCTCTCTTGTATTGCTACGTTCGGGGTCTGTTGCTACGTTGCTACCGTCCTTCTTGCTGTTGTTGGTTGGTGCACTTCCCTTGATTGCCATCCTGATCGTACGGATGCCGCCACTTCGATGTTGAGAATCCAATATACACATTTTTTCCTTTTTAGCCTGTTTCTCGAGGTTCTTTTCCACGTTTCTCTGTGGGGACGCACAACATCGGCTACATTACGAAGGGTTTGGTACCCTGTGGGATAGCTTAGCGTTGGTCTGTGCTCGTTCATGGAGACTTTTTGTCGGCTTTACGCCTTTCTGGGAACTGGTTCTGATGTGTGGGCTAACGTTGAATGGGCACTGACCGATCTAGGATGCGGAAAAGCAGCAGAATCTTGTACCTCGCCCACCTTCTTGCCCCTGCCCTTCCACCCGTTCCCTTATCGTTCGACTTTTGGCTGTCGCGCGACAAACGAACAATACAAAAAAACTACGACGACGACGACGGCGACACCGGTATCAGAAGCGTTCTACAAGCGGCAAGAGCAAGGGCAGCAAGAAACCGCCGCCTGACTCGAGCAGCAGCAGCAGCAGCAGCAGCAGTAGCAGCAGCGGCCGGGACAGCACGAGCCGGAAGTCCACTTCCAAGGGTACGCCCACCATGCCCACCCACACCAGCTTGGTTGAGCGGAAGCAGGGGGTGCATGCGTCGCCCCAGACCGAGTTGAGTTGATGCATCCTGTGTGTTGCGGGACGATGAAAGAGGTAGGACATGCCGCGTTCCGGGTGATGTGGGGCACGCACGCGTCTGCCTTACGTTGTTGACCTAGGTGCGAATTCCTCAACGAAGCCAATATCTCTCTTCTGAGAGGTACGTGTACACCTGGCGGGGGGAAACTCCCTCAGAAGAGAGCAATAGGAACGAATGCAGGACATCAGTTGTAGTGCGCGGTGTAGCGGCCAGGGAATTGTGTGTACGCCACAGCCCGCCCTCCCAAGACCGGAGCCCTACTCGAGGCTCAGCTTTGCGGGGAACTTGAAGGAACAATAAAACCCCTGTGTTTCCCCGGAGTTGCCCCGCTGCTTGCTTCCCCGTAGTTGTCCCGCTATTACCCCGCAGGTTCTACGGGGTGTGAGGTGTGTGTGTGGAGGGGGAGGGGTATTTTTTTCTGGTTCTTGTCCGGTGAAGGAGAAGAAAACGCCTTGACACCTCCATCGGTGTGGGTTGGAACACAACCGGGACGGACGGGCCTGGCCTGATCAGCTCGCTTGGTGTCATCGCTCAAGATCGGTCTGCCCTTTCTCCTTGGCCCGAGTTCCACATCATTGGCGGTTGCGGGGTGGGTTGGAGGTTGGGATTTTCGGCATGGGGTTACGAAAACCTCCTCTCCATATTTCATTTATTATCCTCACGAGGCGGCGTGTGGTTGTTCCTGTATTTTTCGTCCGCGTGGCCGAGGTGTAGGAAGGGATGCCTTAATCGGGAAATCGGGGGTCCTGTTGCACTGTCTGCCGCGGGAATTGCAACACACAGGAGGTTGCTTAAGATATCACATCCCCTGGACCGAATTTCGAAGGCTACTCGACAGGAAAATGGGTTACGTTGCCAAAACAATGGCGGCGTTGGAATGGTCTCGTCCAAAGCTTTCCGAGAATGTTTTCAATTGGTTTCGGCATCCCTCTTCGTAGTGGAGAAATCGAGCTTTGAAAATCGGTCCAGTGGGTGTGGTATCTCGCTCAACGTTCGGTACAGTAGATAGCTTGCCAGGAAATCGTCGATGCTCACATACACCGGAGTCGAAGCCCTACTTCACTTCGAGTTGCCGGCTTGGAACAAGTTGGCTTTCGATTGGTTGGGGGAAATCACATGTGTGGATGAGAAACGAGGTTTTTACGGTATGTGGTGCCGTCTGCTCGTGTTAATTTATTGTGGGTTTGTTTGTTTGTTTCGGTTCTCGAGAGAGAGAGAGAGGAAAATCTCGCACCTAGATAAACAGTGTCAGAACCGTTGACAAGAAACTTTTATTTTTTAAGGTGTGGTTGTTTCTTCCTTCCGGCAGAACCAACGTGCCGTGGAAGAGAAGAAAAGCTTCGAAGATACCCGCCGTTCAAGAACGTTTCAGCGGCATGCAGTGCAGTTGTCGATGGTACATTCGGTACGAAGCGATACGTTACTGCATGGCACGGATATGGGGTCGGTTCGGCACGGTACCTGATGTGGGATGGGTTTAGGTCAGTATGGATGTGTGGGGTCGGTCGGTACCGTGCGGAAACAAGCAGTCTAAGTCGTCATACATTTAATAATGTCGTCGCGAGCGAACATGGTACATAAGCCTTCGCGCGAAATGCGACAATTTCAAGGCTCACTGCAGTTTTGTGAGTTGGTCGTCGATCTTGTTTCAGTGCGAGCGTCGTCGTCTGTGCGTTGTTGTTGTTATTGTGACGAGTGGCCGTTCTGAGCGGGTTTTTTCTTTCGAGTTTTCGCCAGAGGAGGCGTTTTCTTCGTATATATCGAAATTTGTAGACCATCGGTCTAGCTAGGTATTTTGGAGCATTGCCGGTTCCCTCGTGTCTTCTTAGACTCAATAGGGGAATGTTGTTTGTATTTTGGAGGCGGGCGAGAGATTGGGATGCGAAGAGAACAAAACGTTCGGGCTACCGAATGCGTGGGGGGGGTCACTTCATTCACACGTTTTAGGTTTGTTCTGATGATCCAAAGGATTCATCCTCTCCCAATAGGGCTTTTTTGTTTGTTTTTTGTGCGTCCGAAGCAGGCCTTGACCTGAGGCCTTGCCCTAAGCTCTTGTTGTGGCTCGGGCCGCCCTTGTCCTCGTCCGTGTGCCTGCTTAGTTGTCTCCTCGTGGTTAGCCCCCGTGAGGCCCGTGTCTCATTTTTTTTGGGGCTTTGACCCCAGTATCGTTAGCGTTTCATGTTAGTGTGGGACTCTGAACGTAGCACCCGTCTGTCCCCAAGGGAAAGTTCTTACAAATTTCCTTCCTTTTGAGTCTTGATTGTTTCTTAACTTCCAGGTGGTAGCACAACCGAGAGCAACAGAAATACCACCGTAGCATCCATTCCCGGTGGGTGAGCGGGGGGGATACTCATGTTTTGCAGGCTTAGCGGTTAGACCGTTGATATGCACGGGAGATAGCTCTCGGGACTGTGGGGATTAGTCCCTCAGGAACGCCGGCTGTGAAACCGGGGGGGGGGGGGGGG